AAAAAAAAAAAAAAAAAAAAAAAAAAAAAATCCCCATATCACAGCTGATCAATACGAAATACCAAACAGCCGCACATTCATTTTTAACAGTCAATCTCGGAGGGGCGTCGTGTTGTTATTAGGCAATGAAAGGCCGATTGGCTATCCCGTGAGATTATAGATTTTCATAACGATAACTGCTCGCGATCGATAGATCCGGCTGGATTAAACGCCGCGGCGCCGCCGTCGCTCGCGTAGATAGGTTTCGTTGCTCTCGCGAGAGCTGGACCCACGAATAAGATGACTAATCGATCACGCCAACGTTAATCAGCTTACATGAAAACTTTTTTCAGATTTATCCTATCGGATATATATATATATATATATATATATATATACACGCACGGTATAACAGATATTGGTGGCACAAGATCAAGGTAACCAATCCCGGCATTTTTATCTGTTCCCGTTCGAAGTTCCCCAGCATCTTGGCGCAAGGAGCAAGATCAGACGGACAAAAAGGATCTCTTGTCGCTTCCTAGAAACACGAGTCCGTACTTCACGCCGACGGTGTGAATAAAATTAATTCGACGATCTCGCCGCGACCCCACCTCACCTCCCCCCGTCCCGTCCACAAACTCGGACATAGAAAATCTTCCTAAGAGGCGGCCCGTGTCTTCAGATTAGATCTTTTTGTGCGACTAAAACTTAGCGTCGGCGACGATTCACGTTTCTAGACGCCATTAACGTGAACCACATGCGTGGTGCCGTACGATTCGGAAACCGTCAGAGCCATCTGTCGGTAATTTTTTTTTCTCTTCAACTCTGCTTTCAACTTTCAGGCGTCAGGAAGAACGGGCATATTTTTGTTGCTCGTCGCTGTTCATGAAAACGACTGCTTTTCACTCTGTACGATTTTCTTAGTCCTGCTTTACGGTGTGATTTTTAGAAAAATTTTCCGGTACTTTGGATTTCGATTATCCTGGAATTTTTTTTTTTTTTTTTTTTTTTTCAAAGCAACATTGTGTTATACCCCTATGGACTTTATGTCTCGTTCGCACGAAAACGACGGCATAAAAATGACGTCAGGTCCGTGACGTCAGGTCGAAACCGCGGATATACATTAAAGAGGGGTCGTTAAGTAAAATTGTCGCGCGACTTGTCTTTTACAATGAAACGCAGTTGATCATTCCTCCGTGTATATAGGTATACGCCAGTAGAGTATCGGACAGTTAACCAGCTTCGGTCCATAAAGAGACCTTTAACGTGGCAAGTGCTGTTAACTTTATGGATCGGACTATACAGTCATAGATTACGCACTGACCGTGGCGAACGTCTGGACAT